GATATTTTTGACCAAAAAAGAAATTTTCTACGCTGCATCAGAGAAAACAAACTCCCAGCTTCCAAATCAACATAGAAATTTAACAAGCGGGCAAACGAGCTCAAAGAAGAGCATAGAAATAGTCCCATATTTCAAAATTTTGCCTGCCACCTAAAAACGTATTCATGGATTAAACTTGCTTGGCTCGACATCATATTGACTGTTTTCCTCTTATTCTAGGAATATTAACTTCCTCACGATTGGCCATTTCCTGTCAATTTTCCCGTCATGGTATCCATACCTTTACCCGGGTTCGATGTGTCATTACCGGATCCATTAGATGGAAAATTGTCAACAGACGGAGAATCAGTAACGGGAAAGATGACAATATTTCCTGGAGTTAAAATTAATGGCGTGGCAGGAAGTCAGGCAACTATTGGTGGAGTGAGCAGTACAGTCAAGGTATGGTAATGCAGGAAACGGAGGATTATTGAACTAAGAGTTAGGTCCAAACAAACAGTAGGTACGCCCGCCAATGCAGGTAATAGTAATGCATGCGTAGGGGACGGAGAGTTATTAAACGTAGAGTTAGATCCGAACAAACAATACGTTCGCCCGCCAGTGTAGACTGGGTAGGCGCGAAAAAAAAATCAGTTTGAAAGTCTTTTTTCAGCGTCAAAAGTTTGCACCACATAGTTTTATGGTTGCACCAAGGTTCAGAATTATGCTACAAGTTGTCAGTCATTCGCACCCAAAAATAGCTTGGAAATGCTTCACGTATGCGTAGACGTTTTGCCCCGGTGTTTGACGTTTTGCACCTGGTGTTTGTCTAGCAACGGGCATGCTTTGGGAACACCACTGTTATTTGGTTGAGCTGCTACGATCTAATACGCCTATGTATTTACACTTATGTATTTGAACAAGTTTTTTGTTTTTAAGGTAAAAGATGGAAAGGCTTCCTTTGGAGGTAGCGTAAACATCCTCAAACAGTCTTTCACCTTTAACAATGGCGAACAGCTTAGTCTTTCGGCAAGTGTAGACGTCGAACAGCCACTTCGGTTTACCATCAAGTTAACAGGGTCAGACACCAAGCCAAATGTTTTGAAATTCGATAAGTCAGATTCCGAAGCTCTTCCCAAAACAAAGAGTACTTTGACAGGCTCAGTCATATTATACGAAGATCCACTTTTCAAAGACGCAGGCATTTTGCTTCCCGGCTTCACGACGTTTAAGAAGTGGACGCAGAAAGTGACGATATCTGTCGCAGCCACGATTGAAGATAAGCAATCAAAGGGAGGTGGAGAAAACAAGACCGCGTCCCTTACCCGCACACTGGAATGGGCGTTAAGACCTCTGTTCGGAAAGGACAACGATAGACCGGATCCAAAACCGGATCCGTTCCCCCCACCCGATCCCGACTTTCACTGGGAAAAAATCCCTGTTCCCGTAGCCCTGGCCGCTCTTCTATGCTACATGAGTTACAACAATCTGCCGCAAATCATCCAGCAACTTCCTCAAAATGTTTTGGGCGAACTTTTGGACGAGAGTTCTACGGTTATTGGCAGGATTAAGGGAATCTCTTTCAACGTTGAAAGAGCATTAAGCCAGTCGCAGGGAGAAGTCGATCAACTCTCCACCGAAACAAAAGCAATAAGTCAGGAAATGGAAGCCGCAGAAAGCGAAGTGAGCACAGCAGCGTCAGAAGTGGAGAGTGTGGAGGCTGAAGTCACAGCTTCTGAGGAAGTTTTGGCAGCGGCAGAAACGGCAGAAGCGACAGCTGCTGAAGAAGTTGCTGCAGCAACCGCAGCCGAAGCAGCAGCGGATGCTTCCGAAGCAGCCGATTGGTGGACAATCATTGGTGGTATTGTTTCTGGAGCTGCGATAGCCGCTGCAGTTGCAGCTCTCACAGCCGCAATCGCAAAGCGCAGCAAAGCAGTGAAAAAGAAAAAGCAAGCTCAAGACGACGTAAACAATAAGAAGACCACCCTTAGCAAAAAAAAGCTGAAGAAGAAGCAAGCTGAGGTAAAGGTAGAGCACGAGAAGAATGAATTGAGTGCCAAACAGGAGAAGTTGAAGGAGGCGAAGGAAAAGAAACAGGATATGCAAGACGTGAAAGATGTTTTGCAAGCAGCCCATGTTGGCATTGAGCTGATAGAGAAGAAGCTCAAGGATGAACGCACGAAGTAAACGAGCACAAGTAAAGGTAAGAGGATAGCGATGCTCCTATTTATATTAATTAATTATATTATATTATATTTAATTAATATCATTAATTAATATTAATTAATATCAATAAAAATCTATGAAAGGGTTTTACCTTCAGTAAAACGCAAGCGAATCATTTCAAAATCATACTCTCCCTCTAGATTTGGTAGATCGCCAGAAATGCCATTATCAGAGTTGATTTGCAAGCTCTAGCCCTTTAGTACTAACTTGAGATCGATGGGACAAAGCGGAAACTTCGCAGATTTGTTCATTCTTTAACACAAATTCAAAATTTTAAAGGAAGAGTTCTTCCATCTCGTGTTAGTAAAGGCTTAAAAGTGACAGCAAACTGCATATACGTGTGAACGATATTGTTTTGGTTGATATAGGAATCAAGCCCAAAAAGTGCACCCAGTCNATGCGTAGGGGACGGAGAGTTATTAAACGTAGAGTTAGATCCGAACAAACAATACGTTCGCCCGCCAGTGTAGACTGGGTAGGCGCGAAAAAAAAATCAGTTTGAAAGTCTTTTTTCAGCGTCAAAAGTTTGCACCACATAGTTTTATGGTTGCACCAAGGTTCAGAATTATGCTACAAGTTGTCAGTCATTCGCACCCAAAAATAGCTTGGAAATGCTTCACGTATGCGTAGACGTTTTGCCCCGGTGTTTGACGTTTTGCACCTGGTGTTTGTCTAGCAACGGGCATGCTTTGGGAACACCACTGTTATTTGGTTGAGCTGCTACGATCTAATACGCCTATGTATTTACACTTATGTATTTGAACAAGTTTTTTGTTTTTAAGGTAAAAGATGGAAAGGCTTCCTTTGGAGGTAGCGTAAACATCCTCAAACAGTCTTTCACCTTTAACAATGGCGAACAGCTTAGTCTTTCGGCAAGTGTAGACGTCGAACAGCCACTTCGGTTTACCATCAAGTTAACAGGGTCAGACACCAAGCCAAATGTTTTGAAATTCGATAAGTCAGATTCCGAAGCTCTTCCCAAAACAAAGAGTACTTTGACAGGCTCAGTCATATTATACGAAGATCCACTTTTCAAAGACGCAGGCATTTTGCTTCCCGGCTTCACGACGTTTAAGAAGTGGACGCAGAAAGTGACGATATCTGTCGCAGCCACGATTGAAGATAAGCAATCAAAGGGAGGTGGAGAAAACAAGACCGCGTCCCTTACCCGCACACTGGAATGGGCGTTAAGACCTCTGTTCGGAAAGGACAACGATAGACCGGATCCAAAACCGGATCCGTTCCCCCCACCCGATCCCGACTTTCACTGGGAAAAAATCCCTGTTCCCGTAGCCCTGGCCGCTCTTCTATGCTACATGAGTTACAACAATCTGCCGCAAATCATCCAGCAACTTCCTCAAAATGTTTTGGGCGAACTTTTGGACGAGAGTTCTACGGTTATTGGCAGGATTAAGGGAATCTCTTTCAACGTTGAAAGAGCATTAAGCCAGTCGCAGGGAGAAGTCGATCAACTCTCCACCGAAACAAAAGCAATAAGTCAGGAAATGGAAGCCGCAGAAAGCGAAGTGAGCACAGCAGCGTCAGAAGTGGAGAGTGTGGAGGCTGAAGTCACAGCTTCTGAGGAAGTTTTGGCAGCGGCAGAAACGGCAGAAGCGACAGCTGCTGAAGAAGTTGCTGCAGCAACCGCAGCCGAAGCAGCAGCGGATGCTTCCGAAGCAGCCGATTGGTGGACAATCATTGGTGGTATTGTTTCTGGAGCTGCGATAGCCGCTGCAGTTGCAGCTCTCACAGCCGCAATCGCAAAGCGCAGCAAAGCAGTGAAAAAGAAAAAGCAAGCTCAAGACGACGTAAACAATAAGAAGACCACCCTTAGCAAAAAAAAGCTGAAGAAGAAGCAAGCTGAGGTAAAGGTAGAGCACGAGAAGAATGAATTGAGTGCCAAACAGGAGAAGTTGAAGGAGGCGAAGGAAAAGAAACAGGATATGCAAGACGTGAAAGATGTTTTGCAAGCAGCCCATGTTGGCATTGAGCTGATAGAGAAGAAGCTCAAGGATGAACGCACGAAGTAAACGAGTACAAGTAAAGGTAAGAGGGTAACGATGCTCCTATTTATATTAATTAATTAAATCATTAATTAATATTAATTAATATCAATAAAAATCTATGAAAGGTTTTACCTTCAGTAAAACGCAAACGAATCATTTCAAAATTATACTCTCCCTCTAGATTTGGTAGATCGCCAGAAATGTCATTGTCCGAGTTGATTTGCAAGCTCTAGCCCTTTAGTACTAACTTGAGATCGATGGGACAAAGCGGAAACTTCGCAGGATTGTTCATTCTTTAACACAAATTCAAAATTTTAAAGGAAGAGTTCTTCCATCTCGTGTTAGTAAAGGCTTAAAAGTGACAGCAAACTGCATATACGTGTGAACGATATTGTTTTAGTTGATATAGGAATCAAGCCCAAAAAGTGCACCCAGTCCGTGCAATAAAATGTTGTTAGCAAGTGTTGTGAAAAGAGGCACCCTTGCTCATGAAATCGCGTTACTTTTATGTTTTAATTCCGGAGGGTGAGAGCCTCTCGCAAGCGGGTGCGTATAGCCAATGTGCTAAAGAAGGGCATGGAGTGCTCTCCATTTACACGGACTGACCGTTCAGACCAGCAAATTTTAAATTGGAATGAAAAATTTTCGCAAATGAGACCGCTCTGACCGACAAATTTGGAAATACTGTTAACGAGGTCCAAAAATATCGGTCAAAAAGGTCTCATTTGCGAAACATTTTGCAATCCATTTAACAATTTGAGTGGTCTGACCGTATGCGTTAGGGTAGAGTTTAACGCTAGATCTCGTGCGTATTCTTTCGGGAAGGAATATTGCCCATGAAGCTGCGCTCTGCGTCCTCATCATCAAGGAATGACTCTAATATTCCTTTTCATTAAATGTGAACTAACGTTTTCTTTTCATTTTGCTTTAGATTGCGGCAAGTATCGACGCAATGAAGAATTGATCTGGCTGATGAATTTAAACCTTATGTAGATTCAACAAGATTAATCTAGTTTAACCTAGTTTAGTTTAAGTTAAATACTTGTCTCGTGGCAGCCTCTAACGCAATACGCTATGCGAAGTTTTCGATAGTGTAACTTGACAGATCTATAAGAAGATAACCAATAGAAATGAAAGAAAATGCTGACATCCTTTGAAAGACTGATGCTTTGTGATTAACACTGCACAGTTACTTTGCATCAACGATCGCATTTGATACCCGATTAATTCGCCAGAATTTCAGTCGGTCGTTTCGGTGTTAACGGTTTGTGACGCCTTAGGAAAGCAATCGGCAAAAAGAACTGATATAATTTTGTCGAATTCTGCATTTCATAACCTTTCTATTGATATCTAGTTTGTGGGAGTTTCCTTGAAAACAGCGCGCGTACGATTTTTTTTCTCTCTAGGACACCCACGAAGCTTTGGGGTAACCTTAAACGAAACTGAAAGAAAACTGAACTTAGGGCTTCATTGTAGTATTTCCTTTACCTGTGTGGGGGCCTTTAAATAAAAATAGGCTCGCAATGAGTACATGTGGTTAGCCCCTTGTGCTTATACACCTTATCACAAAATGAGGATTAACCGTGGATTCCGTCTCCAGTAGCTTCGTTATTATGTTTGGTGGGGACGTTAAAGAATTCACACACTATCGTCGAGTTTCTGGTGTTGAGAGCTGCCAGTTGTTAATCATTATTCATCGTTTAGGACACGAGCCCCTGACTTGGGAGATTAGGCAACCAATGACCACTTTAGCGGCACATAAAAATTGATGGATTGATTGCTTGATATATTTGATTGATTGATGTGATTGATTGTTTGATTGATTGATTGACTAATTGATTGACTGACTGATTGATTTGATTGAATGAATTGAAAGAATACTTGTGGGGTGGATATCGATATTGTAGGGAACAGAACTCCATGCACAGGATGTTTTTGAGTAATTATCCCGAAACATTGCATTGATTACAATCAGAGGCCGAGATAGGCATTAAATTAATAACCGATACTAAAAGAAGCCAACAACCAATCGCAGGTTAGGTTCAAGTTCACGTGATATGCTACATGTACCAGGCAGCAATTTTAAATGCGATATTCATGTCGTCCAAGGCAGATAAAGAATGACTTTAGAAAACCGATAGGAACTTGTGTTTGTACTGATTAAATTGCTATAACAAAAAGAAATAAATTTTGAATATTATCATGTTTGGAAAACAAGTTTCTTTTTATTAGTTATTTCATCAGAGCTTCCTGTTTGTCATTGGAATTATACCGTTCCTCTGACAAGCTGGCAGATTATGATTTGACATACAACACAAAAAGCAGACTGAAGATACTGTATTGGATTAAGTTGAGAAGCACACCTAATTAGATTGTGTTCATGATTGCAACCACTCTGCACTTTGCCGCGAAAATTTTGGCATGGCGTCATTCTACGATGTCGGCTTTACTACACATCACGGGCACGGTGCCTGATCAATCAAAAGGTTTAATGAGCAAAACAATGGCTATGTACGTGCGTTTTAAGCCTGCGTTCATTTCTTTACATTTTTTCCGACGTTTCACTGCTGTGGCTTTTTATTGTCACTTTGAACGGTACAAAGCCTGTACCAAAGGCAATTAACTGTATAGGCAATGAAAAACGATACAACCCCGGCTAGGCGGGCCTCGATATTTTCATATGGTAAATGTAAAACGCGACTTGGCGGTTACCCCACCTCGCAACTTTTATATGGCAATTGCGATCCCGGCTGACAGCCAGAGTGGCATTTCACCATGTAAAGCCCGCCTTGGCGGGTTACCTCATCCAACATGTAAACGCGATCGAAATAAAATGAGAGATTCTATGAAGGAGCAGGCTACCCCACCTAGGGTGGTTACCTCACTGCCTGGCGTTCCCCATCTCCATGTAAACTGGCCCTAAAAGCATATTCTTTCCTTTCCTTTGTTTCAACGGGAGAATATAACTGTTCTTAACAATAGCGAGAACACTCTATTTTAAACGTTGCCTGTGACACTACGTATTTATGGTGTTTTCAGATAAACCACTTGACACTAGCCTGGTTTCGGTGGTTGAAATCCAACATCATTCCCATTAGCCATATACTTGCCATTTTTTAAGGTCACCTGCGCATGTAAAAAAAGCCTTTAAATCCAAGGGGGTCTAGACCCTGATCCATTGCTTAGTATCAAGGTTTTCTTCTAGAATGGTGAAAAGAATTGTACAGTATGGGAAACTAAGCCAAACTTAATAAGCTAGAAAACCAAAAATGGCATAGAAACCATAGTCGCAGAACAGGATCATAGAAGAAATCAAATGGTTTGATTAGTAACTGTCATTACTGACAATGACCTTTGGAACGAATAATGTGAATCACCTATGCTTTTCTCGAGTCACCATCAAACTCAGAGTCATGGGTGATCACAAAATCAATCACAAGTCATAAACTGTCTTGATGTTTACCTACCCTCTCCCAACTGGTGCCATGTGAAATATATGAAGAAGAGTGAGAAGAAAATACAGGTTTACATCGGGATATAAAGGGTTAAATTAACCAAAGGCTACATATGCAAATTTCAGTAATGGTCGGTAGTTTTATAATTTATGTTTTAACATATGCAGAGATCACCCAGACCACAAATTTAAACGTTTAACTGGTATATTCTTAGGAACTTCGTAGTTTCTTTTTTATGACAGTACAATTACGTATCACCCGATGGTAAATGTCAACCACATACTCAAGCAGTGAAAGTGCGGTTATTGTTAAACTCATTTTGATTATTCATCTAATTACCGAACAATGCAACACTAGCAGTGGCCAGTTATTTGGAAGCCGATTAATGTTAATTAATTAAACTCCATTTAGTGCTCAACTGGCTGGGCAAAATTCTCTTGCAAAAATCTCAAAACTGATTTATACATTTCTACTAAGCTCACTCTTCCTTTTGTGAGCAGTCTGATTCAACATCGCTTGAAATAAACTGCAATACCTCCTATAGCCCTTTCTTATTCGCCACGTCCGCCATATGCACCAAAGCACCAAAGCGACTGCAGAGAATGCTGTTTCGTCTACAGAAATTTGACTTGGACGTTTCGTACAGAAAGGGCCTAGAGATGCACATGGCTGAATGACTTAGCCGAGCTTACCTTCCCCTGGCTAAACAAGACATAGTTGACAGCCAGGAAGTATGGAGTGTTGCCAACACAAGATCACCAACAGAGGTTGAGACTGAGTATATAGATATTACAGAGTCTGTGCCCATTCGGAAACTAACCTTGCAGGAAATCAAAAGTTCCACTGAAGTTGATGCAGAGCTCCAGGCATTAGCTGCTATTATCAAACAAGGCTGGCCAGAGAGAAGGGCTGACGTATCCTCCCAGTTGCAGGTCTATTTTCCCTTCAGGGAAGAGCTATNGACCACAAATTTAAACGTTTAACTGGTATATTCTTAGGAACTTCGCAGTTTCTTTTTTATGCCAGTACAATTACGTATCACCCGATGGTAAATGTCAACCACATACTCAAGCAGTGAAACTGCGGTTATTGTTAAACTCATTTTGATTATTCATCTAATTACCCAACAATTCAACACTAGCAGTGGCCAGTTATTTGGAAGCCGATTAATGTTAATTAATTAAACTCCATATAGTGCTCAACTAGCTGGGCAAAATTCTCTTGCAAAAATCTCATAACTGATTTACACATTTCTACTAAGCTCACTCTTCCTTTTGTGAGCAGTCTGATTCAACATCGCTTGAAATGAACTGCAATACCTCCTATAGCCCTTTCTTATTCGCCACGTCCGCCATATGCACCAAAGCACCAAAGCGACTGCAGAGAATGCTGTTTCGTCTACAGAAATTTGACTTAGACGTTTCGTACAGAAAGGGCCTAGAGATGCACATGGCTGAATCACTTAGCCGAGCTTACCTTCCCCTGGCGAAACAAGACATAGTTGACAGCCAGGAAGTATGGAGTGTTGCCAACACAAGATCACCAACAGAAGTTGAGA